CACAGATGCTTTATCAGTTAAAGAGCGAGTGTTCAATAGCGCACATCGCATATCTGAAGATGCAATATAGCAGTTTCCAAGGACATGATCAAAGCGTAATGGTCTCAGATTTCCAAAGTTGATTACACAATTTTCCTGTTGTGTTTTTCTAAAAGCACGGGTGTTGGTACAGATAACCGGAATACTAATTGAAGACGAGCAGTGATAAGTCCGAAGTTTCTTCCGTGAGCGGTGTAGGCTATGTAGCGGGCTCGGCGTAAAATTCCAAGTTGTTCACACCATTTATAAGTGTCCGGAGCCAAGCGGAGAGATCCTTTTAAAGTTCTAAGTTGAGCAGAAGAAAATTGCAAAGCCATCTCGGGAGAAGTCACTTTATTAACGTCAGCCAAAAACAGCACAAAAAGACCAAAGAACAAAACCTGCAAATGGTTACGCGTCGACATGACCAAAAACCAATGGGGCCCACACAACAACTTATCGGTTTAACTACATTAGCCAGAACCGTATCGAATCCACTATCCACACAATCCACAGAAGGGAAGGCTACCCAACCATACCGAGGATTGACACCACAAAATGATAAAGAGAGTGGAGACTCACTGTATCAGATGTCGAGGAGGATATGGAAAGGAATGGAGAGGGCTCGCAGCCGATCAGTGTGACAGGATCACGAAAAAGGTCAGGTCAGTCATCCAAATCTTATTGAGTGAAGAAAGTAGTCCAGAAAATAACCCAAGTAATCCAGATCTGTCGAATCCCAGCAGAAACATATCCAAAAACGTATCAGCAAATAAACAAACAAACAAACAAACAGGTACCAGCGTGAAGCGGCTGCACAAGCGCGCCTGCGTTCTCACACCGGAAGTGTGACCGGGTGTGACATAGTGCTGAATCTCTTTGACACATTCAGTCTATGGTCAGTCAGTCCATGAGTTGGCAGTCCTAACACGATAGCCTACCATTCTTGTGGATTCTTAAACTAATCGCCTGTGGCAGCACTGAAGGTATTTAGCGTGCTCTTAACACCTTGTAGAGCTTGTGGAATCTGCCGCAAGTGGGAAACTCATCCCCTGTAGATTATCGGCTGGCTGGGTCAATAGAGCACTTGCTGCTGAGCTGACACCATAGTTGTTAACATAAAAATTAACTCTTCCTGAACATCATTCGTTTGTCACTCTCATTTTATACTGCCTTCCAAAACATTTCCTGGAAATACACAGCCTAGCTCAGGAGTTCTCACAAATCAAAAATGTGCCGAAGGACTGTTCTGATACTCTCAAGGACGGCACAGAAAAAGTAATGCTAAATGCAAGTGATAAAATGCAACTAACAATATAAATATATTAGGATAGCAGCATAAATAGGTTTATCAGCATCTGAATGTTTGAATATGTTTCCCGCTTTTTTTGTTGTTGATGTCAAAGAAATTCTATATACGTTAAAAAATGAAAATCGTTTTCCTGTTTAGTTGAGGCAATGTTTCTTCTATATTGTTGGGCTTATGTAGTTCATGTTAATGTTAATATATTTCAGCAAGCACTTTTTTGCTTACTTTTGTACAATAAACATTCTCGGTTCTATTTTGAGTTGGCACTTGAGGTTTCAATGTAAAATCCAATTCCCACAAAATCCAAAACAACATGTTTAAATTAAATAAATCATGCTCTCTTGTTTTCCACAGAAATTGAGAAAGGTGGATGTGGAGACCCAGGCGTCCCTGCATATGGAAAGCGAACTGGAGACCATTTTTTACACGGTGATGTGCTGACCTTTGAGTGTCAGGCTGCTTTTGAATTGGTCGGCGAGAGGACAATATCATGCCAGCAAAATAACCAGTGGTCTGGAAACAAACCCAGCTGCGTCTGTAAGAGTCATTTTCTGAAATGCATGATTATAATTAACATGTTGGCATTTAGAATGATTAATGTATCGCCTCTGTAAAAGCATGACATCTAGATTAGGGGCAGCTATGAAGCCGAATGGCAGCCATCCATGCTAGCAATTCTCAGGTTTGCTCTATGAGAGGTCAATTATCATATTTCTGTTTCTGGAACTTGTTACTGTCTCTTTCTCTCTCAAGAAGGAATGCACTGTGTGTGTTTGTCTGACTACACATGTCTGGATATATGCCCAATCTACTAAAAAATATTATATAATATCTATCAATCGGTAATGATCCAAATTTACATAAACATGGTGCCGCTCTGCACCAGTTTTTGCACACACAAACTGAAATACAAGCACAACTGTAGTGAATTCGCCCCTCAATCTGTCATGCAATGGTATTTTTCTTTAGTACTGAGGTAAGAGGGAGCAGTGCCTCGTTAATGTTTTTGTTGTTAAAATGAAAACCTCTTAAATAGATTTTTTTTCCTGATAAAGCTCAGACTATGAGTTAATTCCTTGACATGCCATCATTTCTGCACCATGCAAACACCTCAATATAATGGTCTATGTGAATCCTCTTTTCTCTCATCTTTTTTTACAGACATAATAGCATTCCTGATAATGTATCCATTGTGGATGAAAATAAATATTGTAACCTTTGCAATGGAATTATATATATTTGTCTTCATCTCCACAGTCTCCTGCTTCTTCAATTTCACCACTCCGTCAGGCATCATCCTCTCGCCAAGCTACCCAGAGGAATACGGAAACAACATGAACTGTGTGTGGCTCATTATAGCTGAGCCAGGCAATCGGATCCATCTCATTTTCAGCGATTTTGAGTTGGAGCCCCAGTTTGACTATCTCATTGTGAAAGACGATGGGATGCCGGAACCCACCACGTTTGGAACGTTCTCTGGGAAGAATGTACCCTCGCAGATCGCTAGCAATGGGCATATAATGCGCTTGGAGTTCCAGTCGGACCACTCAAACACGGGAAAGGGGTTTAATATCACCTACACAAGTAAATGCAATATCAATATTATGTTGTTTATTATTTTGTAAGGGTGAAGTGTGCAATTTCTGCACCACTAGGAGCACAAATAATGTAGCTGTGTTGGGCTGGTTGGCATACTCAAGTAGAGTATGGTTTGATAATGCCAGAGCCACTTTGTTTTAACTTTTCAGGGAAATCTTCCTACAAATTGCTTATAAGGCAATATACTGTATATGCATATTAAACTGGGATATAACAAAGTCCCTTACAAGGCAAGTCAGTTCACTCGGCAGCCATCTTGGGCAGCTTTTTTCAGTCATGCAAGTATAGCTTGTTTCTAATTGAATGTGGAAATACCAAATGTCAAAAAAGTATTTGACAAACTCAGATTTCAATACCATATATTCTATATTTTAGGTCCAGCTCAATGTGCATGTGCAGTGTTAAGGAACAGATGAGCCCAAGTTTCACATAAAGACCAGGCAGTGACTTTGCAGATTGGCAGTTGGCTCTTTTATTTGGAAGGCAAGATCTGCCATATTGGTCACTTTTAAACTGCTCGTGTCCTGGTCATACGTTTCATATGTAATTGTGTGATTGTTTTGTATTTATGTAGAAATTATATCTTTCAGTCAGTCTGAGAGACATTTGAATAATTTTCTCTCAGGGGTTATTTTTATATTTTTGCAGTATGCAGCTTGTTACAAGGTTTAAATCAGAGTAATATCTTTGAAGTTGAATAGATTCATTTGTAATTTTGACTGTTTAAGGTGGAGGATATTATGGTGCAATTCCAACACCTTTCATTAGGCATATCTCCATTGTGAAAAATGCCATACTTCATACTTGCATTTTGACCTTCAGTACAACTTTCACGGGATTCCATTTTTACAGCAACAAGCTTTGGATTTCTTCCTCTATGAAACCCAGTGAGCTGCCTACGTAGGCAGCATATTAAAAGACAGACTCTACCAAAAAGTAGGCAGAATGATTAAGATACTTTCTTTTGAACAAATTCTAAAGTAGCATCATATGTATGTAATTTTAAACAAGGGAATTGTGAGCCTTCCTCTAGCTTGTCATTGAAAATTTTGCTAGCTTGTTTTGCCCTCTCTGGAATATAACTTTGATACCAGTGTAGTGTTCATGAAGCTTAACTGGTACAGCGTGTTCTAGCAATACCAAGGTCATGGTTTGATTCCTAGGAAACACATTTACTGATGAAACACATGCTTTGGATTTTTTTAAAGGCATCTGCTAAGTGTATAAATGTAGCTTTGCTCTTCATTAACAATACCCTAATTTCGCTGTACTTTCTATAGTGACAATAAATAATCGTGAATCTTGAATAAATATAGTTAGACTGTTAGAATTCCATTAGGGATACTTCCAAGTCAGAGAGCTTAATAGCTGAAACCAAACATATTTACATTTTTAGTGAATAGATGTAACTGTGACCGAGATCTGTGTTGGCACGTCTATGTGGGAACAAAATGGGGCAGTAGATGGAATCAGTAGTTCTAGGCAATGTCAGTGTCAGTGGATTGTGTGGTTTGATATCTCAACAGTACTGCTTCAGTAATGGTGTCATTGTCTCAGAAAGAAGTAGACATGTTTCCCAAAGTGTCGCTGGAGCAACTGTCAGGCATGGCCGTGAGAACAATGAGGCTGTCATTTGGGAATGGGGTAGAGCTGCGTGCATGCCCTAAGCCCTGGCCCAAGGTCTCCATGCATTAGCCATCACACTTTCACAGGGGCCTTGCAGACAGATGTGTTCACCAAATGAAAACACTAAAATAGCTTTGGCAGGATCCTCTGCTTCTGCGAGTGCACATATTAAATAATGGAAGCTTCCACACTGACATCTGTGATGCATGTGGCGACACATATGTGAGCTGTCTGCAGAGTTGTGTTAAGGGAAAACAGAGATTTGACAAAAATCTTCAAGCCATCTCGAGTGTGTCTCAAACCACCGTATGGCAGAAAAAATAGAGGGTTTAGAAACAAAGGCTGAACGCTCTCTGTTGACGTTTATCCATGTACCGCCTCAGAATCTGTGGATTTATTTTTCATGGGAAATTGTAACTGTTAATGTAAAGTTAATTAAGGAATAATTGATGAAGGACTAATGAATTGTGAAAATGAATGCACACCCAATGATGGTAGTGCTGCCATGACACAAATTAGATGTTTTCATTGATTTTAAATAATTCAACTGTCTGGAGGCAACTATTCCAGTTCTACCAAGGTGGTCATATGTACATTTGGTTTTGTCTCAAGACATTCTTCAGGTTTTGGCCCCTTGAAATACTCACGTAGAATTATTTTCTTAGTCATTAGTAATTCAGTAGTAACTCAAGCCACCATTGCTGCTTGACTAGTTCAACAAAGTAGTTCAACAACCTGGAACTACTTCATAGCAGTGCAGATACAGAAAATGAATTATTGAACACCTATGGATGTTTGTCAACCAATCAGAATCAAGCATTCAACGATACCATAAAACAAAGTAAATCAATGCCTTGTTGATGTAATTATACTGTAATGCATGTTGTAATGGAAAATCTCGACAAATTGCTTTTGCCTCTACATCAGAGCATAACTTTACAACACATTGTAACATTCAAAGATAATCCAGACTTTGTAGAATCCGCTGAACCTAATTAAATGTTTCCAAAGTGACATTTTTAAATGAATATTGTTACGTTTATGCCTTGCATTGCATGGTGTCCAACCCAGGCTCATGAGAAGTCATACCAATTTCCAGAAGATGGCGAAATCGTAAGAATACGCTGACCCAAACCTAAAGCTAAACATTAAACCCAAAACACTAAACCTAATCATGATGATAACACTGAAAGACGCACAAAACTACAGAATTTGTACATTTTCGTATAATCAAAGTTGTACAGTGTCATACAATTTCACATCTTGTAAACTTTATTAGAAATCGAGTTGCCATCAGAGTGTGCAGCTATGAATATTAGCTTTGTTTACACTCATTGCGTTATGTCTGTTTCCATGCTAAAATCAACCGTACAGGTGTACAGGTCATTCATACAAACTTATGTAATTCAAACAACAGTATATATCCAGATGTATTTGTCCCTTCTTGATGGCATCATTCAAACACATGCTATCATCTGAAGATTAGCGAGGCTGCTATATACAGTATGTTTAAGATGTAGTGCCATCATGTGTGTTAGCATTGTTTTAGCACACGTGTGTTGCCGATTCTCAAAATGAGGTCAAAGTCTAGTGAAGTTTTGGTGCTGCACAGGTAATTGTCACTTCTGCAACATTTCCCTTAGGAGACTGGGCATTCTGGGTAAGATTAGTTGTGTTAGTTGTTCCTTAAAAGATACTTATAGTTCACTTCATTGAAGGTTAGGTACTCTTAATGAATGTTAAGTGCTGGTATCTTCTCAGGCAAGAGCAGGCATGACCTAGAATAAGTATTATATGCTTCAGCACTGATTATACTTTTATCCTGTGTCCGTAGCTTTTGGACAAAATGAATGTCACGACCCTGGTATTCCCATCAACGGGCAACGCTTTGGAGAGCACTTCTTACTGGGAAGCTCAGTGCTCTTCACGTGTGATGAGGGCTTTATCAAAACCCACGGATCCGAATCCATCACCTGTGTCATCCAGGATGGAAATGTAGTGTGGAATGCGGCTGTCCCACGGTGTGAAGGTGAGAGAGCTTTTAGACTTTGCTCTTCTGCACCTTTTCTGAAGGTGCTGCTGGGATTTGTGAGATGGGCTGCTGTTTACATTCTATTTTTCTGCACTCGCACTGTCCCAGCTCCATGTGGCGGACATCTAACGGCTCCCATGGGGGTCGTACTGTCCCCTGGCTGGCCCGGATACTACAAAGACTCCCTCAACTGCGAATGGGTGATTGAAGCCAGAAAGGATCATGCCATCAAGATATCTTTTGACAGGTATTGATTTGTTTTGGGGATTTTTTTTTCTTTGTGAATTCATAGCATGTGAAACCCCTGGACACCCATCCCTGTCCCCTTTCTGGAAACCCTGGCAACATTCTCTTAAGTACTGTTTCTCACTCTTACAATTTTGTTCGCTAACCTTCCAGTTTAATCTCCCTCATTAGAGTAATTCTGCTAAAGACCTGGGTCGTAAGCAGATGTTCCGCTCTTTCCGATTTCCTGTGCAGGTTTCAGACGGAGGTTAATTACGACACGCTGGAGATTCGGGATGGGCCCTCCAACTCGTCGCCTTTGATCGGGGAGTACCACGGCACTCAGGCCCCCCACTTCCTCATCAGCACCGGCAATTACATGTATCTGCTTTTTACTACTGACAACAGCCGTTCCAGCGAAGGCTTCCAGATCCGCTATGAGAGTGAGTCAGCTTCTCATCTTTGCTCTGCAGTGATTTAAATGCACAGATTTTGGGTTTTCACACTCCACGGTGGGCGGTTCTGCAATATTCTGCAAATTTTGGCTGGACACGCTCTCTGGTGCATGTAATGTAATTGGAATGGCTTCTCCAGGGTTGCAATCAGATTATAGTTTTCTAGTTGCCTAAAAATGATTTAGAGAAGGCCGACATGTGTGTGCTAGCATCACATGAACAATATCAACATTCAGAGGCAATAGCTAACTTAGCTAACATTAAGAGAGGTGAAGAACCTCTGTGAATAATTAAATTAATCTGAAAATAAAGTTTGTTTTCTTTTTGAATATGTGTGGTGGTGGTGGGTTTGTAAACTAGAGTGCAATTAGAGTTTAATGTCCCGCTGACACAAGGCCTGTTTGTTTGTTAGTGCAATCTCAACAGATCGACCAATCATTATTGTTAAAAGCATATTTTAATGCTCTTGTAGTTATTGTCGACTTGTTAACAGGGATTAGCCAGAAAAAGCCAAAATCGGATTTGGCATCTGTCTTAGTGGATCCCCCACAGGCATACAGAGGAAAAAAATAAATAAAATAAAAAAGTTAATAAATTGTAAATCGTTCATGTAACAAAGAATGGATAAACCACCACTAGCATGAAAGCCTTTTGAATACTTTATATTTCAAATGTATTGTTAAAGGTGGAGCATGCCGTTTTCGTGCTACTAGTGTCACATAGCGGAATGACAAAAAAGAAAGCATATTTTGCAAGCGCCCCTTTTACGCATCACGACTCCCCTCCCCACGCCTCCTTATCTTGAAGTTTAGCTTACCTGTTGAGAAGAAATTCTACAAGTTCTTCATCTCGATTGAATCCCAAACATTCCATCAATTATTCAATTTTGTAAAAACACCACCCATGTTCACCCGTGCTTTACCACATTGTCTGGCTCTGTGTATTTTGGCAAGTCTTCAAATTTTGGGTTACCGACTAAACACTCTCTGGCTCAGCCTGCTACAGTAGCCCTGCCCCAGACTCTCACTATATTGTGTGCAGAGGTATGTAAATGCATAAATAAACAGGCAGGTAGAATATTTATTTATTTAAAATGTGCACACCCTTAAACTCAAATTGCAAAGGACATTTGAATATAACTGTTTAATATTCAAGACAGTTAAAGGACAATTTTGCTGATTTTCAGTCAGCTTTATAATGTTATAATACAGCTTTATAATATAAATGTCAGTATTATATGTGACCCTGGAGCACAAAACCAGTCTTAAGTCACTGGGGTATATTTGTAGCAATAGCCAAAAATACATTGTATGGGTTAAAATTATTGATTTTTCTTTTATGCCAAAAATCATTAGGATATTAAGTAAAGATCATGTTCCATGAA